GGCGGGGGCCCCCCGCCCCCTTGGATGGGTTTCCAGGGGGAGGAGGGGGGGCCCCCCTGGGGCCCCCCCGGGGGCCCCTACCCCCGGATAAACCCCCCTGTACAGCCGCGTTGTTCCCCTCTGCTTGTGAAGCCATCTGCACCGCCGCCTGTGTTGCTATGAGGGCCATGAGAGCTGTGGGGCCCTGCTCAGAAGTTTTGTTAGAGACCCAGGCTGAGGCCTGCTTGGCCCAGAAGTTGTCGCTATCGCTGGCTTTCTCCTGGGGTTGTGGGGTCTGGGATCGGGATCGGGATCGGGATCGGGATCGACTCCCTGAGCTACGAGAAGAGATAGAGGAACGCCGCTGCTGCTGCTGACGCTGCTGCTGCTGTTGCTGCTGCTGCTGCTGCTGTTGCTGCTGTTTCAGCTGATCATCTGCGGGCTTTTGTGACTTGGATGCTGCAGCATCTGCTGCTGTTTTCTCTGTTTTTGAGGGGGAGGCGGAGCGATGCCTCTTTGCCTTTTTCTTAGCTTTTCCATCCTCCCCCCCCCGACGCCTCCTACCGCTCGCCATTTGTGCTGCTGTTAGGGGCCCCTCAGCAGCATATGTGTCTGTACACCTGGAGCGTATCTGTCTAGAGCTGAGGCCAGAGAAAGGATTGCCTGCAGCTGCAGCAGCAGCACAAGGCCGCGGTGGGGGGGGACTGCTGCTGTGCTGCTGGTCTTGGGCCCCAGCAGCGCAGCTGCAGCAGAGAAAGAAACAGCACGTTCAGGTTCGGCTTAGGATGAAAAAATAAAGATAAAGGATTTAAATAACTCCAAATATAAATAACAAAAGGGACAGATGCTGATGCTGCTGCTGCTGCTGCTGCTGCTGCTGCTCCCGGGGCTGCTGCTGAGCCTCACACTCACTCACCTGGGCCTCCGCTGTATACACAAGGCAGCCACAGCCACAGCCTGCTGCAGCAGAAAAAGATGAATATAAGAGATATAAAAGACAAAATAAACAATAAATTATAAATATAAAAACAAATAACACACACCGATACAACTCCTCTCTCTCCCCTGCTGCTTTCTTGCTGCTTAGTTTCTGCTCTATATATAAACAAGGCCGTGTAGAGAGGGGAGCAGCAGCAGCAGCAGCAGCAGCAGCAGCAGCAGCAGCAGCTCAGCACCGCCAGTGGCTTGGTGTTTTCTATGTACTTTGTGTTGTTTCTCGTGCTGCATCGAAATAAAAATGTATTTAAACTAAACAAAAACAAAAACCTCTCTATAGATACAAATATAAAACACAAACAGCCACAAAGACACTGCAGCAACAGCAGCAACAGCAGCAACAGCAGCAGCAACAGCTGCTCCCGCTGGGCCTACTACATACACCAGCACTGCTGCTGTATGAGGCCTTGCTGGGGCTGCCTAGCCCCATAGAACTTCTGAATATATATAACTATGTATTTGTGCATGTTTATATATTTATTATTTTGTTTCTTTGAGCGCGCTTCCATGAATTTGTCTAGCACGCCCCAGGCCTTGCCCCCGACACTGCAGTATATATATAAACTCTCTCGTGGGGGGCTGGCGGAGCTTTGTATTCTGTCTTTAGTTAGTATTACATTTATTTCTACTTGCATGCGGGCTGGCAGCAGAGAGCCAAGTGCGTGTTTAACAATTCTATACAGGGGCAGCATGAGCGTAGCCACAAGGGCTTGGTGTGCCTGCATGAGTGTTGCAGCTCAGTACTATACTCTGTATGTGAGCTGGGTTTCTGTATTTCTACTTGTGTATAGGCTGGCTGTGTTGAGCCGAGTAACCCTTCAACAACTGTATGCAGTGTCAGTGCATGCATGCATCTTTGTTGTTCATGCGTGTGGGGCTGGCTTGCAAGCCAGGTGAGCTGCAACTCCTCTGTTGCCGTTTCTTCTCT